TGTTTGCATCTGAGCAGAGCGCACACACAGAATGGAAAGCGCCAAAGTTTCCTGAGCAAATGACACAAGGACAATAGAAGGAAACAGAACGTATGAGCCAGCGGCCTTTCCTCCCGAAATACAGACAAAATAACCATTTCAGATGCAGCAGATGGATCCAGAGCGGCGGCGGCGCTGCTGGGGTCTCGCACGCAGGAGATTTATTCAAAGCAAGACATTATTTTTTTTTTATTCTCACCAAGGAATCGCCAACATCGCAGCGATTTGAAGTGACAAGATCGCTTATATCACTCTATGGTTACAATTCAGAGAGCCACCTATAGCAGCAATGATGTTGCACCAGTTTAACCCGTAGCAACAACAAATCGCTACTTAGCGGCGAATCGCATCTTGGCGACAAATCGCCCGCGGCTATAGCAATTAAATAACTACCATTAACGATTCGTAGCGCCCATTAATTGCTGCTTCACGATCGCCAGCGTGAGAGCCATGCCAGACAGGCGATTTTGGGGCAACAATTGATCACCGATACAAAATCAATATTGCCAGCGATTAACAGCAATGTGTAGCTAGCGACTTAGCCCCCGTTCACACTACGTAATGCAGAAAGAAGCGCCAGCGCATTCTTTGCCGCACACACGACAAAGCAGCGCATGCAGAATTTTCAGCTGCAAATGTTTTCCCCTGCTTTTGTCGAGCGTCCGAAAACGTACATTTTACCGGCCACGTTTGGGGTGCCATTACCAAGTAATGTAACGTGAGGCACATTTTGAACATGTTGCCTGAATGCGCATCAAACCACGCGCTTTAGCGTGCGTTCGCACAACACGTAAGGTGTGAGCATACACCGGTTATCGAGGAAGCAGCAGAAATTCGCTGTCGGCAACCTTCATCAGCTGATCGAAGAAGCCAGGCGGAAAATCTTCTCATGATCAGAGTCGGCAGCCAATGAGCTGCCGGCTCTGTTTGGGTATTCTGACAGCGGCTGGCGGCAGACAGCGGGATTCCTCGATCAACACACTTGCAGTATTGATGGAGGAACCGGCTCTATTTTTTTTTTTTTCCGTTTAGCCCGCGAGCTGAACAAGAAAAATAGAGCAGTGTATTGCCAGCTTTAGGCTAGGTTCACACCTGCGCTACACACGTGACGCGCGTCCCAGGTGTCGTGCGGTCCTGCACAATGCAGGCAGCGATTGCCGCGCGGCCCCAATGATTGCAATGGGGTGCCATCCGCGCGACAATCACAGAAAAAAGGTACAAGTTCCTTTTTGCGATACACGACGCACGGCTGTTTTAGTGTTCGGAAGCACAGGCGGAATTCGCTGCGGGAAACGGCGCGATCCACCCGGCGCAACCATTAGAAAATAGTGGCACCCACAGCGTGATCGGTTCACACTTTGGCGACTCCTGACCGCGCGGCACTCCGCACAGGATCGTGCACGATTGCCGCACGGTATGGTTTCACCTAGGTGTGAACCTATCCTGAGTCTTCTCTGCGACAGATCAGCAACAGCGACTGTCGCTGGGGATCTTGCAGCGGACGTGAAAGTTGCACAGATTAAAATCGCCGCGCTACCAGACTGCCGGTGTGTAACTACACGTGTCACAATCTCCTTTAGATCTACCAACAACATTGTAGTGCAAGGACCTGTCTGATTGGATAGATTAGGTTGGTGCTCATATTGCGCAGGTTTGGTGAATTGAAAGTTAAATTGTACCGTGTATAGCGATAGTATTGGCTACAATTTCATAGGACGCTGGAAATGCTGCGACATTGGCTTGTTCAGCATACCATCAATGGGACCACAAGTTGACACTGTGAACAATTTCGATCTTATATGAAGGGCCTTGTCATACACAAGCAAGTGATACATTGTACAATCCAAATAACTCCAGCAATGCTCGGACGATCACATGACTAGCAAAAACGGTAAAGCTAAACACATACATTTTCTATCTTATATTGAATACATATCTTATAGAAATGATAGATTTTATATCTAACTGATTGGAGCATTGCTAGTAAAAATTGACTCGTCTATAGAAGACCGATCCAACAACTCCTGGAATAACATCAACCGAGATCTTCCAATATTGACACAACCATTCCATTCTTCCTTTTGACCAAAAAGGAGAACCGGTCTTAACTCCAAATGCACCAACTTACAACCTGGGAGCAATTTTCAGGATTGACCCATCTGGTTGTCACCAATCAGACTGCAACGTAAACAGAGCAGAAGAACTGCGCCCACAGACACGAGAACATCGTCACCCAATCTGGCCAAACCGATCTGCCATTCGATCCACCAGGCTTCCTTTTGGTCATATGCCACCGATTCCCCCTAAAATAAACCCAACATTCTGTATAAACACGCACGCCCGGGTGACCTGTGCATCTTTATATATAAAAAGAAAATCCAATGGCTGGGCCGTGCCGGTGCACCCGATGACCGCCGAGCATCTTCTAAGACTGAAGTCAGGCGGTGCGATTCTATAGTAGAGATCAATCGCTACAAATCGCTAATTCCAGCGGTTTAATCTCTAGAGCCGCTGGCGATCTGTCGCTGCGACCGCGTTGGGTCCGCTACAAAACGCTCTTCTTCAGCGATCTGTAACTATGCCCATAGAGGTCAATGCGAAACGATTGTCGCCAGCGATCTTGAACTCAAATCGCTGAGCCATAAATAAAAAATTAGCCAGTTAGCGATTCCATAGAAGAGAACTAGAAATGTTATCGGCGAGAAATCGCTTAAAAAAAATTATTA